CCAACAGTGGCCAATGCCAGGTGCCCCAGAGGGAATGAACAGAGCAGATAATCACCAAGTGAGCCATCCCGTTGCCCATTCCCGTGGGTCTCTGAGCTCCCATAGCAGGGTGCAGCTCTGGGCGCCTGGGAGATTCATCCCCCCTTCCTGGGAGATGCGCTCTCAGGGCCCAGTCCGAAGCCCATGACATCTACAGCTTCGGGGGTGGGGGGGGTTGGCTCATGGCCCCACCCCGCAGGGTTGTGCCATACCCTATGTGCCTGTCAGATGTTGCCCTCCACCCCAGAGGTGGCTGCATTCCAGTGGTGCTCTAGGCACAAGCTTCCAAAACCCTTTGAGATCCTCCAGGCTGGACGGGGGTCGGGAACTGTGACATCTCCTGGTTCCTGTCTCCTTTCCTCAACACTTAACCCAGGTTCCGGTGCTAGGTGATCTACACACCCGCTCCGCCCCAGGTGACGCACTCCCCACCCCCGTCAGAGCCAGCTGACCACGCCCCCTTCTCTGCCCCTCCATACCACCTGATTGCAGTATCCAGGGAGACCACACCCACCCCTCAGACCCCTCCTTCCCAGTGCTAGGCAAACCCATGTGCCCCGCAATGCCAGGTCCCCCACCCCTCCCCCAGCCCCCTTTAATTTGGATCATGGCTAACCCCCCGCAGGACGAATGCTATAACTACATCAAGGTGCTGGTGCCCAAGAATGATCGGACCCTCTTCGCCTGCGGGACGAACTCCTTCAATCCCATGTGCCGGACCTACCAGGTGAGGGCACCACCCACCCGTCCCCCGCGCTGGTCTGTCTGCAGCATCACAGAGCCCCACGGGGACCAAGCCCGATCCCCGCTGAGGTGGTGGGGCTTGGGGAGTGGATGGACCCTGGTCACTGGCTGGATCCCTTTCTCACTTAGCGCCCTGCACACGCTCAGGGCTGTTCCTGGTGGCCCACGTGGTTGGGCAAATCTTGATAGGCTCCAGTGAACTTCCAGCGACCGTGCTGCAGGCGCTGGCCTTAGGTTCCAATCCAGGCTCAGGGCTCAAAGGCTGGGCCGGCAGGTGGCTGCTGGGTGACCCCCAAGTGAAATGAGTTTGCTAGGGCTCAGCCCAGGTGTCCAGGACTCAGAAACCACCCCCTTGCGGGCAGCCTCAGCAGAGAGGCCAAGGAGGGAGTGGGTCCCACAGACTGGAGTCTCCCCTAGGTCAGGTATGAGCGCTCCTTGTCCGATTCCCCCAGGGTCAGGGTGGGGCAATGCATGCTGGGAGCAGGAGGCCTCATGGGCCGTGTCTCCCTATCAATGATAATGGGTGGCCATTAGCTCCGTGGGCCACCCAGGATCTGTGAGGGTCAGCCCAGCCCAGCCCTCCCTGGACGGGGCCCCATGCATCGCTGTGGCGTGCTCTCCTGTAGGGCCCCGGGGTGGTATTTGCGTGGCCCATGAGTTCACCTCGGCCCTTGGTTCCCAGATCAGCAGCCTGGAGCAGGAAGGGGAGGAGCTGAACGGCCAGGCCCGCTGCCCTTTCGATGCCAAGCAGACCAACGTTGCCCTCTTTGCAGGTACGCGGCCACGCCCTCGGTGGGTGGTGGGACACAGGCTGAGTGGTGCAACCAGCCTCCGGATGCTGTGCCGGGATGGGGGGGTGACAATCAGGGTCCAGACACACCATGGGGAGAACAGGGGGTCTGATCCCCACTGAATAAGCAATTGCACAGGCAAAGTGGTCATACTGTGCAGCCAGTCCTGACACACCAGCCTGCCTGGGGGAAAAGTCACTTCTCCCTTTGTTTGGTCACAGACTTTAAAGCGTAACGTCAGTGAGCATCGTAGTCCTGTAACATTGTGCACCATCAACTGAGTCAATTGCTTATTCTTTGGGGTCCGGACCTGGGGGTCGTTCTGGGGCTGCGGGGGGGAGGGGGGGGGGTTCGCACACAGTTCTGACCCACACGGGGGTTTGCATTCTGACACCCTGACGCTGGGGGGTGCTGAGTCTGCAGGGCAGGGGCTAGGGCCCATCTCTGTTGCGTGTGCATTGACACACGGGAGTGTTCGCACACAAAGCCCATGGGACAATGCTCCCCAGGGGCCAGCCTGCAGCATCCCATTGAGGGGGCAGAAGCTGCTTGTTGGCTCAGTTCACCAGGAATAACTCCCTGATGGCGACCAGCTCAGTCCTTGCCCCGGGGTTACCAGGACTGGGCGCTACGGGGCACGTGTGGGGCACCCCCGGGACAAGCCCATCTGCATTACACTAGACAGCTCCCGGAGCTCCATCCTCATGTTTCCTTCCTTCCTTCCTACACGTCTATCTATCTAATGTCTGTCCCGTTCCCATACACCCCCTCTGTCTGTCTGTCTGTCTATCTATCCCCATACACCCCATTTATCTATCTATCTATCTATCTATCTATCTATCCCCATATATCCCCTCTATCTATCTATCTATCTATCTACCTATCTATCTATCCCCATATACCCCCTCTATCTATCTATCTATCTATCTATCTATCTATCTATCTAATGTCTGTCCCGTTCCCATACACCCCCTCTGTCTGTCTGTCTGTCTATCTATCCCCATACACACCCATCTATCTATCTATCTATCTATCTATCTATCTATCTATCTATCCCCATACACCCCATCTATCTATCTATCCCTGTTCAACCCCTCTATCTATCTATC